CAACTTATTTATCTATGGTCACAAGGCAGCATTATAAGCCCAACCTTGTTTAATATCATGATCAATGATCGTTTTGACCATGTCAACTCTCCTTCCCAAACTTCTAAATTCGCTGATGACGGAGCAATATGGGTAAAGCACAGAAATATTTCACAAATCAGAAAAAAAACTCCAGTCAGCTCTGGACGGAGTAGATCAATGGTGCAACAAATTGGGATTCCCCATTTCAAGTGAAAAAACTGTTGGAGTTCTATTCAAACGCCAGGGGAAAGATGCTATGATACCCCGTGTCTCCATAAAAAAACAAACCTATCACATTCGAAAAATCTGCAATATTCCTTCGGGTGATCCTTGATCAACACCTCACTTGGCGCAAACATATAGAATTTGTGGAAAACAGATGTCAAACAGACCTGAACGTATTACGGGCAATTTCAGGCACATCTTGGGGCACATCGAGGGACACTCAGCTGGACATCTACAAATCTCTATCAGATAAAAAATTTATCATGGTTGTGAGGCTTTTCATTCAGCATCAAATACTGTCTTGAGGTGCCTTGACAGAATACAATACAAAGCCCTAATGCTGGCCACAGGCGCAGCAACAGGCACCTCACTAGAAGCACTACAAGTGGAAACGGGGGAACTCCCATTGAAACTAAGAAGAGAGCAGGCAATATTATCGTTCTGGGGACGAACATCAAACCCTTTGGTTAAAAAGATATGGCAAGACAAAAACACTCGAGAAGCCCTAGCTCGAAAAAATCCCTCACTAAAACCCTCTGGGATATTAGTACGTGAACTCATCCGAAGTCACAATTGTGATGACATTCAGCCTCCAGAAAGTCACTACAAAGGATGACACCCTCCCTGGACTTTAAAAACTCCCAAAGTTGACACTGCTTTAACATGAAAAGTCACTAAAAGAGAAAATCCAACCCTACTACGATCAGTAGCTATCACTAAAATTCAAACTACCTGGGACAGCTGGGCCCATATATAAACTGATGGATCGAAGAATCCTATCAACAACAGTGCTGGTTACAGGATCCATATCCACAGCTCCAAACTTCAAGCACATTCAGTTCGCCTGCCTGATGGTCAGTCAGTATTCACGGCTGAATTGGAGGCAATTCATCATGCTCTCAAACTCATACTGGAACTTCCGGAAGCAAAGGCAGTCGTCCTATCAGACTCGCTAAGTGCACTTCAAGCCATCAGTGGCAGAAACTCAAACTCCAGGCCAAACACAGTCAATAATATTCTATACGAATATACTATCGGACCAAGGGCAACAGGTGGAGCTGTGTTGGATCCCCTCTCACATAGATATTCATGGAAATGAAAAAGCAGACTCACTGGCGAAGCTAGCTCTAGACAAAGCGGATATACAGCCTATTCCCTTAGCAAACTAGAGATAAAAAGCAAAATCAAAGCCTCCATAGCAGAAAGATGGAAAGCCCAATGGGACGCAAGTAAGATCGGCAGATGGCTATACAAAATTCAACCCAAGGTCCAACAAAAGCCAAACTCATACTCAAATGAAAGGAAAATTGAAATTGCTATCTCACGCCTCAGACTTGGTCACAAAAAGCACTATGACAAGGTTTGTTCATCTTGCAATCAGGCTGAAACCATTAATCACTTGTTACTAGAATGTCAAGACCATGCCCCAGCCTGGGCTAGGTTAAAACAAGAATTGCAGTTAGATCTGCTACCTGTCATAGATCTCCTAAAGCCAAAAGATGCAATATTGAAGGCCAAACTTTCTGAGAGATGGACAGCTACTCGAACGTATATAAACAGAGCAACCAAGGATAGAAATGAAATCATATCAATATAAGAAAATAGAAATCATATCAATACAAAAACAGAAATTATGTGAACACCAAACTCACAATAGATATGTGTACCCTACTCACACACAGGAGTCCCAAAGAGGGACAGGTCAGCAGAAATTGCCTAGGCAGAAGGCGACCTCTTAAACAATTAATGCAACAACAACAACATATTTATCTATGGTCAAACTGGCTAACGCACAAGTTCGAGTGACCATGGTTGATACCGTGCGAGGTGGTCAGCACTTGTTTTATGAGGGATTCAAGTTTCGTTGTAAGAAAACGGTCCGTGAGAACAAGTATTAGAACTGCGTTGTTGCTGCCTGCAGAGCGTCGATCATGATGATAATAATCTTAAAGACATGGACTCAAAAGACTTTGCTTAACAAACTATTCAGTTATTTATTTTACTTATTGTTATTACTTATTTTTAGATACCACAGGTATTTGTCACATGTATGTATTTGTTTATAGTTAATATTAGTTTAAATGCAATTATTTAATTGCAGGTGAACCATACCCACCAACCTATCCCATATGAGATGGAATTGGAATCTTTCAAGTCCAAGCTCATGCACCGTGCTAAGACGGAAACAACGCCGGTTCCAACCATATACGGAGATGAATTTTCCAGACTTCGCCGCCACCACGACGTAGTTCCAGAAGGAAATTTCTTCCTTTGCATCCCTGAAGACCATTATGTACCGACAACGCCACAAGACCCTTCTTAAACTTCCTGCCACCCGACCTGAGATTCATCTTGAAGGACAGTGGACATTGACCGAAGCAGGAGAACACCTCCTTCATCGCATCGACAACGACATTCTCATCTTCACCACAAGCAAGAACATTGAGCACCTGTGTGCAGCAGATGAAGTGACGGCACCTTCTCCTCGGCTCCACGACTGTTTGAGCAGATCTACACATGCATGCTGAATTCCAAGGCCACATGTTCCCGCTTGTGTACTGTCTGCTCCCGAACAAGTCCGAAGATATGTACACCAGGACATTTGAACATTTACGTCTAATGGCTAAACAGCACTTCGAACTTTCCAGTTAGACTTTGAAGTCGCTGCCCACAATGCTGTACGGAGTGCCTTTCCCAACACTTTGATCAGGGGCTGTTATTTTCACTTTACCCAGTGCATTTGGCGTCGAGTACAGAAGGTAGGTCTGGCTACGGACTACAAGAACGATGATGAAGTGCGACGACTGGTGAGAAGAGCCGCAGCCTTGCCTCTGCTTCCCTTGGACAGGGTCGACGACGTCTGGCTCCAAGCCATCGCTGACAGTCCCGAGGGTCCCAAGGTCGCAGCCTTCATGGACTACGTCACGACAACGTGGGTGCAAGGACGCCAATTCGGACCTGAGATCTGGAACCATTTTCGTAACCAAGGGCATCGCACTAACAAAATGTCGAGGGGTGGAATCACAAACTCAACAAACTTGCCAGGAAGAGCCATCCGAACAGATTGAAGAGAACAATCCAACGTAGAAGTCGCCATTCAACGAATTGGAGCACACTGGTCAGCACCACCCAGAAAGAGAAGATACCCGCTGATTGACAACTGTCTTCAGGCTCTGAAAGACCATCTCGTCAACAACGTCATCGGTGAAGTTGAGTACACAGATCACGTTGGTGACCTGATCCACCTGGAGTGAATGACTTGAACACAACGTGTATGCCAGTGCAACAGCAAATTTATTATAGAATGTATTTATGCATTTACCATTGTATTTTAAGATATAAGTTATTGTTGTTTTTGTAGAAATTACAATGTACATCTATGAAATATTAAAGTATTAGAGTTATTAAATTTGTTAAATGTAAAGTACTTTTGTGCAACTATACTATACTTCAGCATCTATTAAAATACTACTGTGATTACGGTATACGCATTTCTGTGTTTTTCTTGTAATTTTAGAGTCCCGGTATAGCAATATCCTGTGTTTACTGTAGCGTGACCAGTCTTACTGTAGCTTCTCGAAAGCGAAGAGATTTTAGAGTTGATTATGGCTAGGTTTCGCTGTTCTGGCCCAGAACCGTATCGAATTACAGTATCGGCCTTATTTACATGTAATTAAATAATCATTTCGAGATTTCGTTAGAATGTGAGATATTCAGCCAGACATTATGCAATAAGAGACGAATGGGTTTTTTCCATTAAAATAAGCGCACGTGTACCTGTATACTTCATACCTAGTGTCACGTTATTGCCCAGTGTGATGTATCAACGGGACATAAAATGGGAAATGAAAAAGAAACTAACTAAACTCTGGAAAATTATTTGTGGAAAATAACTCCAATGAATTGGAGTACACGCGCATGAATTCGTACGATAAACTGTCAAAACGTTTTGAGACGTAAGGCTGGGTTCATTAAAGATCGTTACAAGGAAACATCCAACCAAAGGCCTTTTTAAATAGTAATGTAATGATATAATATACAGTATGCTTCACATGATACAATATACTTTGCACACAGTTAGTTGATGCTTTAAAGGGATTGAAAAAAAAATTGGCGAAATATTTTAATAACGCCAAAAATAAGTTGAATTAAGTTAAAATGATTTTAATCATGTGTCATGCTTATAATCCCTTAATGTATTTGCGAAACAAAAACTGTTGAGCAAAGGAAAATATTCCCGCCTATGGGCCAAACCTTTTTCTCGCCCATGGGCGAAATATTTCAATATCGCTATAAAATCGTTGACATAGTTAAAATGAGTTAAATTTTGTGTCATGATACTTTAAAGAAATACATTTATGTATTTGCGAAACAAAAACATGAGTTTTAAGTAAAGGAACATATTCTCGCCCATGCGCCAAACCTTTTTTCTCACCCATGGGCGAAATATTTCAATATCGCTATAAAATCGTTGACATAGTTAAAATGAGTTAAATTTTGTGTCATGATACTTTAAAGAAATACATTTATGTATTTGCGAAACAAAAACATGAGTTTTAAGTAAAGGAACATATTCTCGCCCATGCGCCAAACCTTTTTTCTCGCCCATGGGCGAAATATTTCAAAATCACTATAAAATCGTTGAATTAAGTTAAAATGAGTTACGTTTTGGGTCATGATACTTGAAAGAAATATATTTATGTATTTGCGAAACAAAAACATGAGTTTTAAGTAAAGGAACATATTGTCACCCATGGGCCTGCCATTAAAATGGGACGTGTTGATTACACATTTACACGTGATAAATACAATTGTATACAATAATAAGAGCACACTGAAGTGTGAAGGCACACATTGGCCAAAACTAATAATTCATATTATTAACTGGGTCTTGTGTTTTCGCTGTAAACAAGAGGATGGCAAACTTCACCCAGTGGGGGCAGAAGCAGTTCCTTGTTGGGGTGGATATACTCCACTCTGTGGGGTCGGGTATACTGCATTCTGTTAGTACGGGTGTGTTCCATGCTTCTATGGAGCATAGGCTGGTTTAGGGTCGTTTGGAGCAGGCGGGTATGCTCCTGAAGTCGATTGAACCGGGGAGCCATACCCGGGAGTATAGGCTCTGTTTCTTGTGCCTGAAAGTGGCGATAATTACATATAGAACCATCAAGCGAACAAGGGAATGTTTTTTCACACCGGTAGTAAAAATCCTAGATCGGACACAACATTAGTCGATAAAACAGTAACCAATCCATTAAGGTACAACGTCATGCATGATCAATACCCCCAGAAAATGACATGTGATCATTGTATTCTGGGTACCAGGACACACCTGATCCATGTCAGCCGGGCACGATGCGACACACTAAGCCAGGAGATGAGTGAGAGTTCTCTGGTCGTCGCCAGTCTCTTCATACACGACACAAACAGGACCCAGAATTGCAATCTCCATGATGTGTCAATGGTAAAATATTAAACAGTTATAGTTGCCATAAAACATTTCAATTAACGTTTTAAGTAATACCCGGAGATACGTTGTTTAAAGTGCTGTACACTTCATAGACATGTCAACAATACGTTTATTTAGTATTTTAACCAGTTGAAAAATACAAAGGACTAAAAGTGAGCATTGTGTGTGACGAATTATCTGGCACAGTTTGTGATGCAGACAAAGTGAACCAGATGAAGAGGTGGTAAAATACCATTCCCACCAACGTCTACGTGTATCCTTCTCAATACTGTGATATCCTCAAACATGACACCTTGTTGGTCGACTTTGTGTAGTGCATTGTCTCCACATCTCTTGAGCAACCCTAGTGGGTAGACTGTATCTGTAAATCAGCCTGGTTATATATCATTGGACACGTGTAAATATGAAGTAGAAAGTAAATATCTCGGCGGAGGGTTTGGATAAGGTCAAAAATGAACGGTTGTCATACCTAAAACTACATTCAGTTGTTGTTGGTTCTGTCCTCGCGGTGACCTACAATGGCAGATGATGATTCCCAGAATGATGCCGGTGAACGCGATGACTCCAAAGGAAATGCCGACAATAGCTCCTGTGTCCAGTGTGTCATCCACGGTGCTGAAACACGGACATGATCAGAGATAGCAGTGTGGTCAAGGGATCGTCACACACAGACTGCACTGTCGACCTCAACGTCGATCCTCTCATTTAAAACGATCGCATGCGTCACGTATTACGAGATAGGCCGTATTTGAAACGATCTAATGCGTCACCTATTACGAGGCCGTATTTGAAACAGATACAACATGAAGATATGTCTATTCCCTTTCTGTTCTCGATTCCTAAGAAGCATCAAAATCCGTAGAAAGAGAGACATTTTGCTGGGTCTAGCAAATGCACCACCCAATCCATGTCTCAAAGATTACTCATAATCCTCAATATAATCAAGGATTTTCTTAATAATCACAGAAAGAATATCAGACAAGTGGAATTCATATCGTGTTGAATTTTTAAAAACTGAAAGGATCTGCTTGATTTTTTACAATCTCAAGAAATAACCGAGTTCAATTCTGTTACAACATTTGATATTTATCAATTTCTTAACAATTTAGATACATGTTTTTCTTAGTATAGGACGTGGTGACCACAGATACAGTTACATATATCTTCAGAGGTTCAGGGCAATTTGTCAAAACCGAAAGCAGATGCCATCTAAAGTTGCCTGAAAATACAACACATTGTTCGTGAAATGCTTGACATACCCTTTGATAATATCTATGTAAAATTTTGGGGTAAAACATTTAGGAAAGAAGTAGGCATCCCGGGGGGCACGTATTGTCCTCCCCTTTTTGCTGATATGATTCTTATGCATATGAATCGTAATGTCTGCTCGAAGTCAAAACAAGGTATTTTCGCAAAAAAAGGTAACTCAAGCTTTATGTATATCGACGATCTGATATCGTTCACTGATTTACCCATCTGAACTAGGAATAAGTAAAACCGTGTATTATGACCTGTACCATAATTATGTTCCTGTATGTCAACAATTGACTTGCCTTTGCATGTGTTTGTGAAGGGTGTCCCGATGGGGCAGGATACGCTGACCTTTTCGCGAACACTTGGTATTATCACTCTTTGATAGTGATTGATAAACACAATGTCATGATTATTTTATAGTCGGCATTATACATTCATATTTGATTTTGGCAGAGATTTCTGATAAATATGAAAAGGGTCGTGTCACTTTTATTTATTGAATTATAACATTTGCTCGAAAAAAGTGTTGCACATTATAAATAATTTAAAAAGCAGCCTGCGCAGTAATTATACATGTTCATTCCTAATTTTTAAACTCATTAAATTTGTTATATATAAAATACATATGATAAGTAATAAATGTGAACGTATGATCGAGTGGTGCCCCAAAAGGGTTGCATACCGTATCCATGCAGGGGATAAAACATAAACTCCTTCGCAGACACAATCCATCCAGGTCCCAAATGGGCTATAAAATGTATGCTCATATGGGACCCTGTTCGAACCCTTGGACAAACCGAAAGGGGCCAGAAGGGCTACCTATTTCAGACCCATTACCAACTTCACATTAACCCAAAGTGGGGCTCTTATGTAAATGACAACGTCACTCTCTGTTTTGTGTAAGCGAACTCTACTTTGTATGAAGCCGAGTGTAATATTCACCTGATATTAAAAATTCACCTCAAGCTACAATATCACAAAATGCTATGTGCAACTATACTTTATTACAGGGACTAGTGTTCTCTACACCAGATATTGAAGACTCACCTCGAGGAGCCACAACAGTACCTAAAGTATGTGCTGCTGCCACAGCACAAATAAGGACACAACTTTGTCTTGGAAGTCCCATCAAATTGTTTCTCGTAGCATTGAATGGCATAAGCTGCAAATGATCAAGAAATTAATACATTAAGAGGGGTGTACATTGTATGACTCATGTAGTCATGATAGCGCGAGACCAGTTGTTCATACCGACATAACAAATGCTATTATGACATAACAGATGTTACGCGGCTATTCATAAGCTTATTCACAACAACGTGATATTACAATTATTGACTACCTATTATGAAAGCAACGTAATCAATAACACATGTATCTTAAAAGCAGGTGCTTTGTCAAGTCAATCTAGTAATATTAATAACAGTTATGACAAGTTCACAAGAGCGTTTACTGATGTTATGAGGGTAAATGTGTTCTTCAGGGCGTTGTCATTCAACATGTGCCATTAACTGCCCGACAGACTGAGAGCTCAATGTGTTACAGTTGACATAGTTACAGTTCAAATGTTTCCCTGCCATGGTAATATCCCTGAACCAACCCAATAAAATCAAACAACAATGTATGGTGAGATATTCACAAGAAAATCACAAAAGACTAAGGCAAGTGTGCCACTGGTGTGGACACACCTCATCAGCAATAATAGATAAACGTTCTATCATAATCCTATCCATTATAGCTACCGATGCAGATTACGAAACACATGGTACATATCTATTAATACTGGGTTCCCTATGGCCATTCCGTGATGGACGTGTCTCAAAACAACTTTTGGTAAGGTTATTTTTTCCAAGTAAGGTTAGGATTAAGGTTAGTACGAAGTAACACCAGTTTCACAAAACAACTTCATCACGATCTTAACTCAGTATGCCAACATTTTAGCGCTAAGTTTTTTTTTGTGGAAAGTGGGCTTTGAGACTTGGGCCCGTCTATAAGGCAATGTTCACTTAGATGAAGAAAACCGTGTGTCATAAAGTCAGCATGAACAGTATCTTGTTAACTCATACTTACAAAATGTTACCAGGGTAAGGATAACACATCCAATTTGTACACCACCCATAGAAGCAAATTTGACGATCGACGTTCGAAGACTGTCAGATGGCAGTTGAGGAAGTGTATTGACTATCCAGGGTCGGACTGTATGTAGGCCACGAGCAGGCAATGGGACATGACACAATGACACACTCGCAAGACACGTATAAGAATAAACGCTGCAGGCGGATCTGTGAATACTCAGAAAAGTGAAGAGATGGCTTATAACCAGCACAGATGAGAGAGAGAGAGAGGGAGAGAGACAGAAACAGAGAGAGAGAGAGAGAGAGAGAGAGAGAGGGAGGCACGTAATTTACTATTTTACTATTGGACTATGTAGTCTGCTCATGTATTAAATATGTAATGCATTTTGTTGGGTTTGACTCTGGCATGGTCTGGTCCTGAGTTTTGAATATGGGCCATCATCTTGTATCAGAACTCTCAGTCTTGTTGTCTGCATTTATTACATTTAAAGTTTACAGAAGCAGAATATATTGTACACTGACAGAAAATGGGCTTCATCTTTTATCCTGTTTGGATGGCAAAGTTAACCATAATGTCAGGTCTGCTGGTGTCTGACATTTCTAGTTCAAGACTGTCACAGCTGTGACGTAATTTGGTCTGGGCAATTTGATGCCCTCTCATTTTACATTACAAAGGTATACTTTGAAATTGAATTTGTCATGTATACTTCCCATATGCCTAGGGTTTGTTGTTATTCCCACTGTAAATTTTATTACTTTAAAAAAGGAATAAAGCTTCAAATTTAGACTGAAGACCATGGCACTGCAAACACGAAAACGTCGTTTTTTTCCGTATATGGTCATTGGACGGAAAAACGACGTTATTTGGACGTTTTCAAACCATCGTTTTTCCGTCCGAATAACGTCGTTATTTGACATCGGAATTTACTGGGAGAGAACGATACCGTTAAGCTCCTCCCTTTCTTGATTGACATTGTCAATCAAGCAACAGCGTCTACCGGTATTTCTACTTCTCAGATTTCATTGGTCAGTCCTCGCGTGTTAGATTACAGGACCGCGTTTGACGCTGCACTCGAAGCGCTAAGCGGAAGTACTGAAATCAATCGTTCTGCGCATGCTGATTACTTAATGCCTTGACCAAATTTCCGTTCTGTGCATGCGCGATTTTGCGTATTGTTTCCTAGATTTAATGTCACCACTATTTGACAATGTTTCATAAACACAGTCACGTGAAGGTTCGGAATCGTAACAAGTAACTCCATTTAAATTGAAGAGGATCCCCAGTGATATGGGAGATTCCAAGATGAAACTATTCTATGGCTATCTAGGCTGCCACCCAAACCGATCTAAACGGGACCCGATAGCTTATTGTATGCTATATAGTCATATAGAAGTGGACAAGAACTATACAATGTATTCCGGCCGATTGTTCTTGCATTTACTTATAAGTCAGGAAAATAGACTTAAAAGGGGAGTTGTTGAATGTAATTATTTTAATTATTAAATGTTGCCTATACACTAATCTGGACGAACTTCTCATTGTTCTGTTTATGTCATCCTATATACTATTAGTATGTTACCGTTCTAAAGTCAACCTCTCACATAACATTATATTGTTCATAGTATCAAAGTTTAATCAACAATATCAAGAGCAGCAATTTAAACCACTGATACACCCAAACACAAGGCTGTTATCAAGCGCTAGTGCAGACGTGATGCATCGTAAAAACTGTATCGTGATGTCTTCAGAAATTCAATTTATTATGCTACGAGATAGTACGGCTAACGATTGAATCACGGGGGAACGAAGACAATATCGCTAATACAGATATAACGTATTTGAATGTTAATACTAAAGACAAACAATCATTATTTTTGCAGTGACGATATAACACTTATACACGTTTATTGGTAACTTTCATCACTTTTGCTCTTCATTTTAATAACTGTGTTTTCACATATGTATGTAGCAATACCCGACAAGCATGTCATACATAATTATGGGGCAGTTTTCAATCTTGTACTGACTTAATCTGGTGTTAATGAGCGAAGTTTATTGGCTTATGTGTAAAACCCCGTTTTTCTGGTAATCCTATTATTACTTAGTTTATTTCTATCTAATGACACCCTGTTTTCTGGATCATTGCTCCGTGACTATCCATAACAATTAAGATGAACATTCAGTTCAAGTAAATGAATGAGTTTGTTTTGACGCTACAGTCAGTAAAAAAAACAATGCTGTGATGTTTGATAACACACTCTTACCAGGTCGAACATCGTGGGTCCTCATTTTCTGCCTAAAGAGAACCATAGTTCATATGTTAATCCATCTGCGAATACCCTCCCACTCAAGATGACCTTACTTGTTGCTAAATCTATCATCTATCCCCCCCATCTCATCCCCACGCCCCCAACCCACACACGCACGCACGCACGCACGCAAACACGTACACACACACACACGCACGCACACACACACACACAAACACAAACACAAACACACACACAAACAACTGACCTAAATAACCTGGACAGTAAATACTGCTGATAGCCTCTAGTCAACTCAGCCGCGCCACCGCAGAATGTTCGTCCAACTCTGCAGGGGGCATTCTCAGTGGCTTCAAACGCGCTGAAATGTTTTCGCCTTGCATCCAAGATGGTGGACAAGTGAAATCGTATGAAATTTGGCTATTTTAGGTCCTATCTCTTTTTTGATTACCCAATAAAGTCAATTCATAGTTACACGGTTGTGAAGTAGCTTCCAACTTTATAAGACTTATTCATCTCATTCCAAAAAAGCTACTCGCACTCACATAAAGTTGTAGTTATTATGTCACTGTTTTATTTCTTTAAAAATATAATACATGTTCAACAATAACAATTAAGATGAACATTCAATTTCCGATATAAGTAAATGAATAAGTGTGTTTTACGCCACAATCAGTCAAAGACCAACGTTGTCCGGTCTGATGACACACAATCTACCAGGCAGCATATTGTGTACACCCTATCCCCATTGAAGTCTCCACTGTGGGTATTCCTGGGGACGAAAAGGCCCCATGTACCTAGGAATTTCATCAATACATTCATGCGCGGCATTCTCTGCCTAAAGAAGATCATATAGTTAACATGCTTATCCAACTCGAACTACCATCACGCTCAAGATGAATGTTTTATGTAACATCCAACAGGCCCACATTTACGCACGCACGCACGCACGCGCACACACATATTTGGATTTACCAATCCCTGAATTGAGAAGACGTGCGCTACGAAGCTCCTCCAAGTCATCATCAATATCCGTATATGTCTGTGATATCATTACCTATCCAAAGCCGAATATACATTTATTGTGCTTTCTTGACAACAAATGTTATAAATGGGATAACACTTTCGGAGTAAAGTACAGATTCTCGTACTTTCTTGGGTTGAGTCCCGTCCGGGATTTGAACCCACACTGTGAGTGGGGCACCCAATCGCCAGAACACAAAGTTGGCAATCTAACCCAGCCACCGAACCAAAAATGTTAGTCCAGATGACGTATACTTTGTGTTCTCCTCTGACAAGAGAAAAATGGCACGGCTTCTATGGCCGAAAGCTTTGAACCAACAATGCCTTTAAGAAAGTTGTCAACAGTAACACACATTATATTTGGATACCACTTTCTCAGTACACTACATATTTTTAGGGTGGAGATAATAGACGTTGATGGTTGATTATCAATGGACAAATTAAAGCCAAAACTTAACTTATGAATGATTGGTAATGGGAAATGGACAATGGGCAAACGGGAGGCGGGTAAATCAGCGCCAGTTATCTGTTGGCTTCCCTTGTTGCGTTCCCTTCTTTGCTATCTTTTTACTTTTGTTGTTTTTACAGGTACAAATATATGTTCTCTGCCTCATAGCATTTAATAATATTCACCTGATGAAGGAGAAAGTATATATTCCGAAACGCAGTGTTCCTCCGTTGACATCCATAAATATTTTTCCTTGTGTGTATCAGTTCTTAATGCCCTTCAAAGACTCAATCTAGCTTTCTTTTTAAATGTGGTGATATTTGCGTAGAATATAATATGGTCATGCCTATATACATTTGGGTCCTTGTCTACATAAGCATTTAGACATATAATTTAGAGCTAAGGACATTGCTAATTCTGCAGGAATGAAGTACACGTCATAGCAAGCTGTGATCTTTATTCATACTTCGATATTCGTAATGGAGATCTGTAACTGAAGTTTACCGTAATCTTCCGCAACTCTCACCTCCTGACCAGTTGAACGTCTTAGTGCATTCAGATGCCATTGTAAAATTCCAGGCTGCCCCTCTTTCTGTGATGTTTTGACGGATGATATCTATTGCGTTATAATACTCTATGTTTGCTGATATATAATATGTACATGGTGTAAAATATTTACGATATTTTAAACGTGTAATTCGATGCATATGCAATGCAACGTGAACATAAGTGCGGATGCACGAAGGCGGTTATAGTCATAGTTATACTGCGATGGATGTAGGGGAATGGTGGGAGGATGGATTATGTATGAAAGCATGCGCATAGATCCATGCTGGCTGACGTGGACATAATGGTGGGGAAAGAAGAATGTGAATCTTTTGTTTCACTCACTTATAGTGTTTTCTTTCACTCAAATACTGTTTTACGCATTTTAATGACTGAAACTGTAGTGACTCAAAGGTCATACTGGCCGGGCTTTTAACATATCTACCCCAACTACATACGTAGCCATTTTTATGGTGTACAATTCACACACACACACACACACACACACACACACACACACACACGCATTAATTGTTTTATTACATGTATCTTCGAGAGTCAGTAAGAAACTAGAAATAACTTCCTTTGTTCTGTAAACCTCACCAAGTTTCAGCTTTCGCCTCTTCCTTTGTGGACTGAGGTTTCACATTTGTAAAATGATCTCTCTTATCTGTCTGTACCATCAACTTAACTGCCCTCACCCCCTGCAGATTTCCCGTCCCATATTGCCAAGCAGGTGACCCACAAGGAGGAATACCGCCCTCCCTCAGTCCAGTGATACTGTGCCTAGTACAATATGTTGGGGATACGTAGC